CAAAACCTTGCCACGCAAACCCAACACATAGGCAAAAATGACAGTGTAAGTGTGTGTTTTTATTGCTTAGCTGTGATCAAAATATTATCAAGTACTTGATAACATACTTGATAATACCTGAATGAATAGGTTCAAATGCTTGTCAGCCTGAATGCTAACAACCTGTACACAGGCACCTTTCTCCAGTTAGTCCATTGTATTCATTGGGGTTTCTAGATATAAAATTTCTGAATGAGGAGAAAGCCCTAGTCATCTGTTGTTTGTGTTGTTTTTTTTCTTTTAAACTACAATTTTGTGGTATAAAATGCCTTAAAATCATGTTAATGTACTTTAGTTATGTTTTCTGCTACTTGTAGCTCTGAGAGCAAGACATACAGAGGATCTAGTGCTGTGGCAGCTAGTGGTTTGAAAGGCCACTTTTTCAGTTGAAAAGAATACATGCAAAAACCAGACGAGGCACCTTTGCTTCTCCCTACCTCTTATTCGGCATGCTATGGTTTGGAGTCTTTCCTTCCCTGGCTTTTAAAAGGTGTGTGCTAGGAATTAATGCATACAGAAAATATCCCCCAAAGTTCATGATTGATGCTGCAATGAGAGCATGAAGAACTAAGTTAATGCCAGTTTTTAGATCAGCTTTGCAACAGTGAGCTGACTTTAATGGGGCGACCAGTTATCGTGAGTGAAAGGAGGAGTATGATTGCAGCTTGCCCATATGGCCTTTCTTATACAAGGGGAATGCACGTGTTGTTCAGACCATTCTCAACCTGGGGAGACTGCAGAATTGCAAATGTTAGAATTTCTACAGGCTTTTGATTGTGACTTTTTTTTTAATGTCATAATCTGCTGTGTTTACACTGATGCCTTGTCTTCCTTGACTTTTGAGAGATTAGCATAATTTGTTGCCACCGCTTAGTCTATGCGGAAGATATGTTTTACTTTACAAAGCCAAGTAATGAGTCTTACTGAAGATATGGCAGTTCTTAACTTTAATTCCTGTTAACAAGGTTTAGGTAAGTGCTGTCCCCGCTTTGTCTTGCCTGGCATTTCTGCCCTGCCAGTGCAGTAATGGGTGTATTAAGGAGAAGCAGAAAATACTCTCCATCCCCTTTCCCCTCCTTTCATGACTGCATGACTCCAACCACCACTGATGCTTCATGAACGGGAAATTACAGCTCCTAAATTTGACATTGTAGACATAACTGAAAAGATTAACTTTAGGGTTGTGACTGTGAAAATGTCTACTTCTTCTTGCATGTGTCAATTTGGGTAAATATTTTGCAATCTGGGAAGGTTTAAGAAAATCCCAAACAGAGTAAATAGCCAACTTGTAATTGGAAACAAATGGTTGGAAAATTTTGTTATTGCTTTACATTTAAAAGAAGTTAGGTGCTGTAAATTTGTGTGCTTTCTTTTACCCATTTAAAAAATCTGTTTAGATCATCTCAGAATTATTCTTAGGTGACTGAAACAGGCTAGTCTACTTTAGGTAGCCAAACCATCTGAAGGCTTTAAAACTTTGCTAGAAAAATATCAGGATAAATACCAGTGCAAACACACCTGCATTAGTGTAGCTTGCCTGTGAGATTTTACTTCATTATTTTTCTAATGAGTACCTGTAAGATTTGCACCAGAGTGGGTGGATCAGGCCTTTTGCTCCCTCTTTCCTTTCTCCTATCATGAAGGTTTTAGCAGGGAATTTGGTAAATGAAGTAAACCCAAGTAATTAGTGAAGGGGCTAGGTTTTCTAAAGACTGGGCAGAGGTGGCTAAGGCTGTGATTCCGTCCCCAGCTGGCTCTGGCACTTGCTAGGCTCTCTGTTGAACTGGTTTGGTGTGCTAAGCCAACAAAAGTCTAGCCTGATTGAATAATATAGTTAGATAATACCAGCTAGATTGGGTAGGGCCATCACAGAACCAGAGCCTGTGCATGTTGCAGAGGGATAGGTCTTGAATACAACTGTGTACAATTTTGTCCAAGATAAGAAAGCTTATGGCTAAAGGGCAATATGAAGGGTATGTGACTTGCTGCAAGTTCCTGATACTAAATACCACTTATGCACAACAGAGAATCTTTAAGTATGTGTATGCAAAAAATCTGTCAAGCAGTTCAATAAGTTTATCCTTCTGTACCTTTGTGACATCTAGGTTTGAGTTTCAAGTTAAATGCCACTGCTTAATTATTTCTTTTTTTTAATGTCTTATGACAGTGCACTCAAAAATGTACGCTGAGTCTGGATCATCCTTTTATGTTAACTGGAATGGCTTTATTGGGTCACAAAGTATCGGTTTGTCCAGTATTCTGTTTCTGACAGTAAACAGTAAATTTCGATAGTAAATACATCGGGAAGGGAATAGTAAGAAAGAACGTTTTATGATCGTTCCTTAATATCCTTCTAAGTATCTGCAGCTTAGAGACTTTTTGAGCCAGATGTGACATCCTTGAGTTTAAAAGCTCTTCATGGAGCTTTGCGTTTGTCCAATTACTTTCTGAATCTTTAAATTTTTGGAACTCATTCCCACAAGATGTTGTGGATGACAGTTTTAACATACATACTATGTGCAAAAAGTACTTTTGTGTATTTTTTGAACCAGCTCCCTAATACTTGCATTTGGAAAATAGTTACGTATCTTCTCTGTGTCACTTAGAATTCTATACTTATCTTTTCTGTCCCACATGGTCCCTTTTTCCAGGCTGAGCAATCCTAGTAGCATATTTCTAGGTTTACTGTATCTTTTTTGGCAGGAGGAGACACAATTGCATACATTACTACATCTGTGGGTGCACTGTGGATTCATACAATAGAACTGTATTTTTGGGGGGGCTCTTCCTTCCAAACAATTCTGTTTCATTTGCTTTATGATAGCTATTGAGCTAGTGTTTTCATTGAACTGCATGACTCCCTGAGTGATCTTTCCTAACAGATAGAGCTCCTTTGCTAGGTGTGTTATTTTGCATTTACCAGTATTGAATTTCTGCTGTTCTCTTGCACAATCCCTCCACAGTAAGAGCGTTCTGCAACTGTTATCATTACTCCTGATGCTATGCAAAATAAAGAAGTGCTTTGGGTTCCCAGAATGCTTTTAATCCAGGTGCAAGGCAGAGGACAGCAGATGAATACAAAGAATTGTGGCTACGGCAGTATTGATAAGCAGAGCTGCAATGGTCTCAAATGAGTTTGCATAGATATTGTAAAAGGCTGATAAGAAAGGCTAATAATAAAGCAGTTTTCTGAGAATTTAGCCTTCTCTTGAGTTCAAGAAGCAGCATCAAAGGAAACATCAAGTGCTCGTTTGGCAATTTTCAAACAGAATGGAGGCTGCCAACTGTTAGCCTGATAGAAGCAGCAGCTGAGTTTTTGGTGTTAAATGTGAGTGGATAGCTAGTATGAGAGTAATCTGGGGGGTGGGAGAGGGAAGTGAAAGGAGGCAATTTATGGTTAACGTGATGGAACAAGATTCATGAGGGAAGCAGAGTGACGTGTTACACAAATGCTGAGTTGTATGGCTATGTTCAGTAAGATAAGCAAGAGAGAATTAAGCAGAGTAAGTTGTACATGTTCTGTTTCTGCTGTGGTTTGGTTGGTATGTGCTAAGCATAACAGGAGCTTCACATCTGTCATTTCCACACACTAAACTGCGTAAGGAGTGAGTGGAGAATGAGTGGGGTCCCCAGTGTGATAGGATACACTGCTGAAAGGGACACCAGATTATTTTTTTCCAAGACCCAGCTTGGCACTGAAATGCTGGGGAAGGTCTAAGAGATCAGTCTCTTGTCTAAAATACCACTTAAGATGCATCCTAGCCATGAACATGTCACTTGACATAATACTTTCCCCCCAAAAAAAAACTATATGCATTTTTGTTAGTTTACTAACTGGCATCTTAAGAACAAGAAAAATTACTTTTTTTATGTACTCTTCTAGTTCTAGGTCAAATGATTAGTTCTGTGACAAGACAGCATGACACTTTGAAGTATGACAGAAGCCCTGATGCTGCAGCAGAGGCTGGGAATATTAATGGCCAAATCTAGGTGAGTGATTTTTAATTCTGCCAGTTCCCTAGCTGTTTCATTTCTTCCTCATAGCCTTGGTTCACATCTCTCCTTTGAAGCAGCATTGCAGTTCTTAGTTTTCTGAAGTATTAATGTAAGAATATATCAAAGACAAAATAAGGAGCTCGTATGATTATTGATTATGTACCCTTTCTTTGTCATTCTTGAAATATAGTGGCTATACTTCATACATCTTCATATATTACAGCTTTCTACTTGTAACCCTAGTGATTTTTCCCAAACTACTTTGCAGTTAAAAAACAATTAAAAAAAACCCTTGATTTTGCTGGCACCTGCCTCCAACAGATTTGATCAGTTATTTTATGCTGAATGCAAAGAAAGTTATGACACTATAACAGCATGCTGCTATCTAGTTTTGTTTCCACTTTGTCAAAATGTTTGAGGAGGTTTAAGACTGAGCTTTATTAAGTGCAAGCATCTGTGCCTGAAGGCTGCTAGAAGCGTCTGCAACTATGCTGTGTGGACCAGAGCTTGAAAACTTATGCTGCAAATTTATATATTCATTGTTGATCTGCACTGCGGCTTTTGTCACGTGTTGTTCTTTTTAGCAGTGAATTCTCAGGGTAGCATCAGTAGGCTAAGATGATCAACATCTGAACGTTACTGTAGTAAGGCATTGCGGGGTGCCAGGGTAGGAAATTAGTAATTAGTATACAGGTGTTATTACCTGTATCTTCCTTTCTAAATAAACCAGATAGGATTCATAGGCAAAAAAATGGAATAGCTAAAATAGCAATGGGATGTATGTGTGAAGACTATTAAAAGTAGTCTATAATTGAGAGACTGATTGGACTGATTAATAAAATTCAAGACTTCACTATGCAAAAAAACCCCAGTTGTGTATAGCATAGTTTCTCTCTGCAACAGTATAAGCAAACAACCAACCTTTCCAGTTCCATGTTGTGTTGGGGGAAAAAAGCTTCATCAAATGAATGCACGTCTTCATGTTATGGCCAGAAATGTGACATTAGAGAATCCATGATTTTGAGAATCCGTGTCTGGTGCTTCTCCTTCTTTGTTACTGGATTAATCCAAGCCATGTTGTTACCCTTTTTGTTAAGTTCTCCATTTCACCTCTGCAGGGATTTGGTGGCAGATTTATACAAATTTATCCAGTCTCTAGGGTAGCAGTATCTGTTTTGAGTGACTTTTCTGGTCAAGAAGAGGGGATGAGTTAGCTGCTCTTCATTGTATTCCTTGCACCTTATTTCTCAGCAGACTGAAGTGCTACTTGGATACTACTGCTGCATGCTAATACAGATGCCTGTCTAGAAAGCAAGTCCTGGTTTTCTTAAGGTTGCAGCTGATTTATTTCCCCTTGAGTCAGGAAAAGTTATCTACCAGTTCTGTCTGTCTTTGTTCTTGATTCCTAATGTCATATCTCTTGTTGCCTTACTAGCTCTCTTCCAGGATTTTGCCCCACTTTTCGTTTGTGTAGTGGAAATTTTAGTTCTTATCCAATATAAAGGTCATGTAAATGGGTTAAGTTTTCTTTAGTCTGACTTTCTTGTATTTAAGAAATACAAGACTTACCAACCTCTGCAAGGTGGTAGAGGGAGGAGAAGCAAGTTTTGAGACTTGGTTCTATGAACATTTTATCATACTGTTTTATGAAAGTTTGACCATAAATACAAAAATCTTTCAATGAAAATATCAAAAATATCAAATATTTGTTTTGGTTTCCTTAATTTAGACATATTGTTCCATGTTAGTTGAGTATTTTACTGGTTTACAGCAAATGAAGTAGACTGTGTAACACAATTTAATCCAAACGGTACTTAATAGAAATAAAAACCACCACATTTTAAAATATTTGTGTTGAATGTGGGGGTTTTTTCCTTCCCTTGACTTCGATATACGTAGTTTTATGTACATTGCTATACGGGAAGTATTTAGAAGTAGAAGCATGGAGCCTCACTGCACAGTGGCCAGCACAGGGCTGCTGCCTCCAGGCCTGGAACGCCTCCACCTTCTGTTGCGAGCCAGCCCTGGAGCTGCAGAAGCCAGAGCAGCCTTTCAGGATTGCCATGTGGGCTCTCTGTGTTGCCTGTGCTTGGTAACCTCCTACAGCCCAGGGCTTGTATGGGCGTCACTAGGGCTGTGCTCAGCAGTCTAAGCCAAGGAGCGCTCGTTTAGACAGAACTGGAACCCAGGTAGTTGCCTTGTGTGAAGGCACTGGTTTAGGAGATGAGAATCGCCCCCAGTAAGTTCTTGGTTTTTGTTTTCCCACAAGCTGCTACCATGGCAATCAAGGTGATAAATCAAATGGGTCTGTTTGGTAGTAACCTCAAGTTGAATTATTGGTGGGACTTTAACGGCCTGGTGTTGCTACTCCTTAATGCCAATCTAACTTACCTTTGTAAAAATATTTGTAATATTTATGTTGATTTTTTTTTATTACTTATGACTGCAAAATTCATCATGAGAAATTGTAATTTCAGAGAGAAATTTCTGTTGGGTTGTTTTGTTGTTGGTACTCTATTTTTACTTCAACTAAATGATCATTTGGCATTTGGGGTTGGGTTTTGGATTGGTTTTTTTTTCCCCTTTAGAGATCACATGGTCTTCTAAAGAAGTCATGGGTAGCTGTTGTAGCTGTCCAGATAAAGAAACTGTCCCAGATAACCATCGAAACAAGTTTAAGGTAAGCTACTGATATGGTATGCTGTGAATTATTTTGTTGCTTTCTTGCAGAGCTCTTGGTCCATCTCCGTTTCAGTTGGTAGGGCCCCAGTAAGCGTTGTTACCTCTGGGACATTATGGAAGTTAGGAAGGGAGTTCCATAAGGGAGTACCATAAGGGAAGAGCTGTTGGAGAAGTGTGATTATGAACCTGGATGTGGGGTCAGCAATGGAAAATTTTAGGACTGCTGATTATGTTTGAAGTTCATGACTCATTATACCATTTTGAAAACTTTTGTCCTTGAAGAAATTTTATTTATAAACGTGCTTCTGTTCCTTATATCCCTGGAATTTATAAGCTTGTGAACACTTGCTCATGTGCTTAACATGCTTAACATGAAGCTGCTGAAGTCAATGACTTTAAATAAACATACCTTTGCATAGTCACACAAGTCAGATTTGCTTCTGTGCTACAAACTGTCTCCGTGAGTTGGCAAAGGAATGTAATGCTTCCATAGTGCAAAATGATTCATGCGTTGCCTGAGGGCAACACTGAAATGAGCTTTAAAGCCATGGGAATTTCTGGAAATGTTTAATATTATCTGTACAAAAAGCTGAAGGATAAAATATTTTTCTGTTTTTTTGGTTTTTATGCATTTAACATCACTTTGTGTAGCTAGTTCCTATTTTTCTCCTTGTAGAATTTCTCTATTGTTTGTGTGGGTCGCTGATTTAGCAGCAGGGGAGAAAAGATGAAAGAATGTAATTTGCAAAATTAAGAAAGTTGGCATAAGCCTCAGTGGCAGATGAAACTATTCCTAATTCTTTTTAATTGACTAGATTTCAAGTTGAAGATGTCTCTTTAAGGAGTAACATTAATTGATACCATAGGGAAGATTTTTAGTAGCCTTTTAACCGAGTAAGAAAAAACCCCACTAAAAGCAGTATTGTGAGATGAAATACATGCAGAGGAAAATATACATTGTCTGAATTCCATAAAGGATGCAGATGACCTCCAACTCTTTAAAAGAAGAAAGAATAAGAGTTTAAGCTTTATACACATGTTTTCACACAAGATAACCATAGGGTATTTGAATTATTTGTTGGCTGTAAAGAGGCAGAAATAAATAATCTAAAACAATCTGGTGATGCAGCACAGTGCGAGGCTGTACAGGTATGTGAAAGAAGCTTTATCTTGGAGCCCCTTGTCCTTTGTCATTCCTTTCCCCTACTGTAAGTGGGGGTTATGACAAAGCAATTTTTATTTTTTTTTTTTGTAGAAACGGGGTTCTGAAAGATCCCATTAGCTGAGGTATGCCTTATCTGTGTGGAAATACTAGAATACGTACATAAAGCCAGTTAAAAAAAAATAAACTTAAGAATCTATTCTGTTTTAAATTTCTCCTCAAATTTTATAATAATGTTATGCAGTCTCATTCATATTGCTTTTAAATATGTATTATTTTAATTCTGGGTTGGGGGAGCAAAGCAACTGGTTTGGTGAGGGTTTTTTGCCAAACTTTTACCTTAAGGATCGTAACTTATATGACTGAGTAGATGGAGTGCATCAGTGAAACATTTTTAGTAGTGGTATTGGTGCTCAAAAGAGTACTTAATGCTATTTAACTTCCTTTTTATAGGTTATTAATGTGGATGATGACGGTAATGAACTGGGTTCTGGCATAATGGAACTTACAGACACAGAATTAATTTTGTACACCCGTAAAAGGGACTCTGTAAAATGGCACTACCTCTGTCTCCGTCGCTATGGCTATGACTCAAATCTTTTCTCTTTTGAAAGTGGCCGAAGGTGTCAAACTGGACAAGGTATGTGGAATTTTTGTATGTAAAGCTTCTTGGAGATTTATTTGATTTTGGAAGGCAATTTTGTTTTTATAAAAGTATGTTTGCCTGTCCTTTGGCAAGGGTTATAAAGGCTATAGTTCTATATGTGAATGGGGTTTCTGGAAAACAAGTAAGTTACCTTACGAAGAATGGTCTTATAGTAAAATGAGGATTTGAGTTGCACATAGTTTTTGGCATTGTAGGTCTGGAGCACTTCGTTTTTGTGTGTGTGGATACTTCTGGTCAGCTTTGGAGTTGGTTTTGACAGGGAAGTCCTCCTACCTCAGAGGTTGACTTGACTTTCAGGGAGGGGCAGTGAAACCTGGAATTGTGGAGAAGTCTCCTCAGAATTCAAAGAATTCTCTATTTTTAGATTTTTAAAAGACTGGAGCACTGGTATGAACTGGATATCTCTATCCTGTTACTGTCTTCAGTAACACACTTGCGTGTCATCCTCTTCCTAAAGCAAATACCACTTTCGTCCTCACAGTGTGTAAACTCCAGCTATGCTCAGTTATTTTCTGTGTGGCTTTAATTGAAAAAAGATGGTTACCTTTCCCATTCCCAGATCATGCCTGCCTTGGCTCCCGGTGAGAAGATTTAGGCTTTTCTCTCTCTCTTCACTGCAGCAGTCCCTGAAGGAATAGCTGCTTTGGGTGGGGTCTCAGCCTTATTTTGCATCTTTCTACTGTGATGTAGCTGTGTGTAGCTGGAATTCTTATGTATTCATACGTTGTGAAATTAAGTTGCATTCTTATTTTTATTATAGATTTTTAGCATTTACTAGTGTTTTTATCAATAACAACATTTAGCAATTGCTTTTTTTTTTTTAACTTCACTGTAAAAAAAATCAGGAAGATGAAAGGACTTGGTCATATAGTAAGCTGGACAATCTTCTCATTGTCCAAGCCGAGGTAAGGGCAGACAGTTGTTTTTTGATAAAAGTGTAGAAGGCATTCTCAGTTCATCTCCTAATGAGAAAGAGATGTTTTCCAATGTTTTGGTATACTCCATACTAAAGTAAATTTTCAGACTTCTAAGAAGAAAGTAATAAAGTTTGTTTTGAAGAAAATCACTTTAATTGATTCTGGAGATTTAATTTACTGCTTCTTCTAAACATATAAAATAGATATAAATAAAATTAAATTGAAAATGCTGTTTTGAAGGTTCTTTTTTATGGCCTATTAGGATGTCTGCAAAATTTTCTACCAAGTCTAATTGCTTTCTCTGCTTCCCTCCTAATTTTTTTTTTTTTTTTTTTTAAGTAGAGAAGATTAAGCAGTCTGTGTGAGCAGCAACCCTTTCCTCCCTCTTTTGTTTCTTGGCTTCCTTACGTAATGTTAAAATACTGCAAATATTGAGGAAAAAAAAAATCTAGCAGAAAATGTTGTCTCTGCCATTTTGCAATGGAGCATTGTTCCTGAGACCTACACTGGGTTTTGTGGGCACAGTTGCAAAACTTCATCTTCACTTGGTGAGATGACTGAGAAGTTTCATTTGAGAATACCCTGAATACTGCCCAGCAGCTTTTACTGATTGCATTAGTTAGTATTTTTGTTTGTGTTTTCCATTTAATCTCAAATTATATCTATTGATAAGTTGTCAGAATGTACTGATAGTGAAACATTGAGTTTGTGCTAGGTATTTTAAAAACCTTGAAGACATTTTTTGGGAGCACAGCTAATAGATAAATCAGGATAGAAAACTTACTTGGAGGAGCTGGTTTGTCACCATATTGTGTAAGTGACAGATCACATTGTATTTAATGTGAATATATTTAATAAAAATAAAGGTTTCATCAAGTTGTTTTTGCTCGCAGTTTCAGTGCCAATTTGTTTCACCTCATATTTTAAGGAATCAGCAATTTGAAAGCACTTTTTTTTTTTTAAACAAAGGAGTAAGGGCAGCCGAATTTCTCAGAAACATACTGGGAGCTTTTTAAAGCTTGTGAACCTAGATTTTTTTTTTTCTTTTTTGTCCATTAAGATTTAAGTATCCAGTGGGAATTTTCAGAAATAGACAAAAAATTAAACATGGACTATTGTACTTGAGCTGGACCATGGGTTGGGGAAGCGTAGTAGTAGAAGAAGCTCTACAGCTGCTGTGTTGCAAGCGTGAAGCTTATTCACTGCACCAGCTGAATAGTAATTGTTGAGCATCATTCCTCTTAGCCCATTTGGTATATTCCCAGTGGGGCTTTTATGAACTTCTGCCATATGGAGCATTTCTGGTGGTTCTGATCTGTTACAGTTCTGCGTCCTTAAATAAATACATTATGATAGTAATTGCCAGCACATTAACATAATTGCACTTACAGAACAAGCTATATAGGTAGGTAGTTTTTAGTAAAGAGTGTTTTAAGATTGTAATACTCAGTTTAAAAAAATGAGCACCTGCACCCACGTTTAACAAGCGTGTCAACTTTAACTTCATGCTTTCAATGGAAGAATAATCCAAAGCTGCGACTTTGCTGGTGAGGGTAAGTTGGGGCGCTCCCTGCTGTTTAAAGGCAAAGTGGCACAATACACACGCAAAATACATGGTATTGCTGCTAACTTTGTGTTCTGTGTCTATCCTTTAGCCTAAAGCAATTGGTTTGTTACTGTCTGTTTCACACAGTTTGTCTTACTAGCTTTTCATTTTAATCTTAAAGAAACAAAGCTTTTACCCAGTGTTTAAATCCTTCTTTCCTTTTGTGCAGGTATCTTATTTTCATGGTAATTTAATAGAAATCTGGTTTTAAAAATATGACCTTGTAGCACCACAGTAGTTTAATTTAGTGTTTGGGGTTTTTTTTTTTGTATTTATTTAACAGGTATTCTTTTTATCAGCTTAAAAAAAAGAAAAAAATCTTGCCTTGTTTTGTGGTTGGTTTTTTTTTAACCCCTCATTTAGCACTCAAAACTTTGTTTTGTTTTTAACTGAATCAGTTTTCTGTTCTAATTTTACTTTTGGTGCATGGGAATCTTAGTCTTCTATTAGATAAACACTTTAAAGGTTCTCACAATAATTTTGTGAGTTTTAGTGCAATAAAAATTTCTTAACACTTTTGCTTATTTAACAGGTATTCATTACATGGATTCCAGTTTTAATGTTTGAAAGTTATATACATTGTAAGGCATGTCGCTTTTGTTAAAGGATTTTGATTTTTTTCTTGTGCATTTATAGGAATCTTTGCCTTTAAATGTGCCCGTGCAGAAGAACTATTTAATATGTTGCAAGAGATAATGCAGAATAATAGCATAAATGTGGTAGAAGAACCAGTAGTAGAAAGGAATAATCATCAGACTGAGTTGGAAGCTCCAAGAACTCCTCGAACGCCTACCAGTAAGTATGGTTATACTGTCAGATGAGATACCTGAATGTAATGTGGTACTTAGCTTTAAATTAGTTTTCTTTTTAATTACTTAAAGATTTAATGCAAATTAAATGCTATTTTCAGCTAAGAGACTAATTACCAGTAATGCATTCTCTTGAGGTACTTGCTGAGGATTCTCTTTCGAGAATCTTAAGTCTTGGGAGCAAAACTGTGCTATGGTCAAGTTCCACTGCTTTAAGAAATAAGCTTTGGGAACTTAGTTGTTGCATAAGAACACTGCTTCAGTATATACCTATTTAATGGCTTTATAATATATCATCATGTTTTTTACCTTTAGCATTTCTGAGAAATGTTAATGTTGGGCAATGCTCCAACCTTTTTATTAGGAAAAACAGTAGTAGTAATATCACATCAATAAGTGGGTTTGGAATCTTTCTTTTGCTGTGGGTAGATGGCTGGCTAGGGTGAAATCCTTTCAAAAATACTGGTGGATTTTAATGTAATCCCAGGCAGATGGCTTGATATTTGAAACTAGGAATTCCAGGTTATTGATTAGTTCAGAAAAACAGAAGCCTAAGTAAATAAGTCCTTGTTTGTTAGGGAGACATGTTGTTAATGGTAGAAAGAGAAGTTGAATAGGGAGTTTACTGGGAGGGCTGTGATGCGCAATACACCTAGATTTCAGTGATTGTTTCAGACATGTTTCCCAGTAAGTACTGGGATGCCATACTCTGCAATTTGCTTTCCCTTTCCTTCCCCCTAGCAAAATTGAGTCTTGTGAATATTTAAATCTGTTTTCCATATTTTAATTTCTTCATCAAAAATGAAGCTATAAAGCATCTTACTCATATACAGTAAAATGTTCTATTTTAATATGGTTTTGCTTGTTTTCTAATTGAATCAGCTCCTGGGTTCATTGCACAAAGTTTACCTAATGGCTATCCCAGATATCCATCTTTTGGAGATGCTTCATCACATCCTTCCAGCAGACATCCTTCTGTCGGAAGTGCACGCCTCCCCTCCGTCGGTGAAGAATCAACACATCCTTTACTTGTAGCAGAGGAGCAAGTGGGTATTTTTTTTTCCCTCGTGTAATTTAGGTTCTACATTAGTTCAAATTTTTCTAATGCTTGTTCTGTAGGCTTTCATTTGTGTTTCTCAGTATCAGGTGTAATGTATTACTACTGTATGTTAACTGAGTCAGAAAAGTGTTTGCTTTGCCTCTTTAAAATGATACTTTGTAGGATAGCTTGCTGAGGAAGAATAACTATTTTAAGTTACTCTTCATATTTATATACAAATAAAGATATAGAAAGTATGTATTTGCATATACTCTTTTCAAAAATTTCAGTAATTATTTTTAAACACATAAATGATACTTTATAATGAGAGATCCTGGTCAAAAATATTTTTTACATGTAAGTTGTCTATTTGGCGAATAGAAATCATGGAATAATTTTGGTTAGAAAGGACCTTTATAGTCCTCTAGGTCAAATTTTAAAGTAAAAGATGCACAGTCTCTTGTCCTGTCATGCTTTGAATACTCCAAACAAGGGGATTCCATGGTGTCTCGGAACCACGTGTTCCAGTGTTTGCTTCATTGTCAAAGCATTTCTCCCTAGTATGTAATCAGGTTTTTTCCTGTTACAGCTGGTGTCCATTGCCCCTTAGCCTTTCGCTGAACATCTCCAAAAAGGGTCTGGCTCTGTTTTTTCTTTATCCATTAGGTAGTTGAAAACAGCTATTAGGTGGTTTCCTGGCCCTCTCTTAAGACTGAACAAGGATGGCTCAGCTTCTCCTTGTATGTCACATGCTGCAGCCCCTCTAATCATGGCCCTCCACTGGACTTGCTCCAGTATGGTGATACTGGTCATGTACTTCAGTCTCACAAGTGCTGAACTGACAGTAATAACCACTTTCCTTAACCTACTGGCTGTGCTTTTGCTAACAAAATCCAGTGCACATTTGATTTTCATTGCTGCAAGGGTACGCTGCTGGCTCACATTCAACTTACCATCCACCTGGACCCCTGGTGCTTTTCTGCAAGGCTTTTTTCAAATCAGTGGGTGCCTAGCCTCTACTGTTGGTGGTGTTCCATACCAGGCACTGGACTTTGCATTTGCTGTTGTTGAACTTCACGAGGTTTCTATGATGTCAGTTCTCCAAGCTGCTGAGAACTCTCTCAGCGGAAACCGTACCAGTCTGGGATAGACTGAAAACTTTCAGAGGGTGTGTTCTACCTCATCATTCAGGTTGCTGATGAAAATGTTAGTCAAGTTTAATAAAATGTAATGTGGTTTTGGAAGACTCGTGTGCGACAAGAAAGCGTTGGTAACCAGAACAAAGTGCAGTGAACTGTCTTGAGGGAAGGGATTTGTTAGGAGCCCTCACAGAAGAGTCCAAGTGTTATTTTTGGGAGTTATTGAAGAGTAAATGAAATTAAAGAATCAGTGTAGGAGTCAAGTGAGCTGTAAATAACACTTCAGGTTGTAGAGCTTGACAGAAGTTAGGAAGGTTAGATGCCTGCTGCTGTAAAATACTACTTTTGCCATTTGGGTATCCAGACAGAATTAAAATTTAGAGGAGGAATCCATTACTTTTTTAATCCATTACTTTTCTGTTGTCCTGGTTTCGGCAGAGGTGGAGTTAGTTTTCTTCCTAGCAGCCGGTATAGTGCTGTGGTTTGGATTTAGGATGAGAATAATGTTGATAACACGCTGATATTTTAGTTGTTGCCAAGCGGTCAAGGACTGTTCAGCTTCTCATACTGATCATACTCACACCAGAAGGTGAGGGGTGCCCAAGAAGCTGGGAGGGGACACAGCCAGGGCAGCTGACCCAAACTGGCCAAAGGGATATTCCATACCATATTGAGGTTATGCTCCATATATAACTGGAGGTTGGCCAGGAAGCAGCGAGGCTCAGGAACTAGCTGAGTATTAGCTTTGGGTGGTAAGCAATTGTGCTGTTCATCACTTGTTTTGTATATTTATTTATTTATTTATTATTATTCTCTTCCTTTTCTGTCTTATTAAACTGTCTTTATCTCCACCCACAAGTTTTACCTCCCTTTTTTTTTTCTTCTTTTTTTTTCCCCTTTTCAATTCTTTCCTACATCCTGCTTGGGGGAGGAGGTAGTGAATGAGCAGCTGTATGGTTGTTTTAGCTGCCTGCTGGGTTAAACCACAACACCCATTCAGCCTTGTGTTGATCTATTGTGGGAACTTGGAGGGATAAACTAGTGGTATATTCCTGCCTTTCCTAGTGGCATCTGATGCTAACTCCTGCTCGTTTTTAATTCTGACTGCAACAGTTCATATGGAATTGTATATTTTTCTACTTCAGTTTCTGGTATTAGGAGGCTTTTGGCTCTTGAATAAAAAATGGACTGTTCTTCCAGTAGAGTCAACCTCTCTTCTCATTGCTTGAGTAGTACACAAGGGGAGATCCTGGGGCGTTTTAGGTCTTTCTTTGTTTGGTTGGTTTTTTTAATGGGCAGTGAATTTCCCTTGCAGTGTGGGAATTACAAAGATAAATTTAGCCGAAGGAATTATTGAGTTGTTGGTCACTGTCATGGTGAGGGACAACAAAGCAGAGCTCAGCTTCACTGATTTGTCCAAGTGAACATGATGAAGTTAGAGCAGCCCTGGTGGAATAGAACCTGAAAAGCTGTAACTAGAGCACAACTGAGATAAAATAGCAAATCAAAAGAATTATTAATGTAGGATGTAAATTCTGTTCTTTTGTTAGACTCACAGTAACAAAATCAACAACAAAATTTCAGGGGAAAAAACCTGAGGACAGCTCAGCAAAATGTGAAAGAGATGACCGTTGCTCTTAAACAGCTGCTATCATGACATTTGGTTTTCAGGTTTTTTGATTAGAAAAGTGGGGAGTTAAGAAGGAAAGAAATTTTGAGGGGGGGAAAAAGGCACAAATAGCATTTGAATTTCCTTTTTTTTTTTTTTTCTTCCCGTTTTAGGTGCACACTTATGTCAACACTACTGGGGTACAAGAAGAAAGAAAAAATCGATCAAGTGTGCATGCGCCACTGGAATCAAAGCTTTCAAACACTGAAACAACTAAAGTGAAAGAAGATCAGATGTGTACTGATGACAGGGATGCTCAGGTTCTCCTGGAGCCTGAAGGAGTCAAGTTTGTTTTAGGACCAACACCTGTTCAAAGGCAGTTAATGGAAAGAGAGAAACTGGAGCAACTTGGGAGAGACCAAGTTAGTGGCAGCAGCACAAACAACACTGAATGGGACACTGGGTATGACAGTGATGAACGTAGAGAAACGCCATCTGGTAATAAATTGGTGTATGAAAATATAAATAGGTTATCAATCCCTAGTGCCTCAGGGGTCAGGAGAGGTCGTTTGACATCAACCAGTACCTCAGACACCCAGAACATTAACAACTCTGCTCAGAGGAGAACTGCGCTGTTGAACTATGAGAACTTGCCATCCTTGCCTCCTGTTTGGGAAGCCCGCAAGCTGAGTAGAGATGAAGATGACAGTTTAGGACCAAAGACCCCATCTCTGAATGGCTACCACAATAACCTAGATCCAATGCATAATTATGTCAATACAGAGAATGTAACAGTACCAGCAAGTGCTCATAAAGTAGAATTTACACGACGTCGGGACTGTACCCCAACAGTCTTTAACTTTGACATTAGGCGTCCAAGTTTAGAACACAGGCAGCTCAACTACATACAGGTTGACTTGGAAGGTGGTAGTGACTCCGACAACCCTCAGACTCCAAAAACCCCCACCACTCCACTTCCGCAAACTCCAACCAGGCGCACAGAGCTGTATGCTGTGATAGACATTGAAAGAACTGCTGCTATGTCAAGCTTGCAAAAAGCACTGCCCCGAGATGATGGTACTTCTAGGAAAACTAGACATAACAGTACTGACCTGCCTATGTGAGCCTGGGAAGCATTAAATCGTTTGCACCTTTTGTGAAGTTTATAAAATTGAAGATGCAAATACATTGCATTTCTTAACACTAACGCCTTTTATAGACTAATAGAACTTTTTCTGCATACTTCATGTACTTGTCTAACTAAAGGGAATTAATGTAGAGCAAGTATTCATTTAAGTAACACTATTTCATTCTACAGTAGTAGTAATTACTGCATAGCAGCATCACCACCTTTCACAGTGCCTCTTTAAATTGATTAGAGTCTGAGTGACATGCCAGTTTTGAATTTATAAATATTCTGATCTGGTGCCTATACTCGTTAATGACATTTATAACACTTTTTAAAGCCTCTTGATATGTGCATTATTAGCAGGTAAACCTAATCTTTCAAGATACCTATCTTATGTTCATTCCTCATTGAAGTGGCTCCTCCAGAATGAAATGTATGTAATGCATTAATTCACTCAGTTTGATGTACACAAGATGTATTGGTTCATCTCAAGGGATATAAACACCACACCTTTTTTGTCTTTTTTTTTTTTTTAAGACCTGGGCAAGACACGGGCAAGAAGGCCTCTAATTCTGCATAGTTTTTTTTAACATGTGTGATATTTGAGAGGTCACATCAAAGTTCATTGACCAGAGCTATAAACGCAACTAAACCCAGCCTTAAGCTCCTTACGCTAGAAGAGAATTCCGAGTGGTGTATCAAGTTCCTTGTGAAATCTGACAGAATTTTAATCTCATTAGAGTTTTGGGATTTTTTTTTGTGAAGGAATTCACAGGATAGCTGTATGAATTAAGGCTCTCTTGTCATTTCTCAGTTCAGTGTGCCTTCCTTTCTTTGCATTTGTGTGTTTTTTATCTGTTCCATAATGTCTTGGTTTAAAAGTCAAAATTTTGTACATAGCTTTAATTATTGTTCAGGGTCATTTATGTGTTTGTCTCTCTGCATTTGACAAAGACAGACTCTGGAAGGTCAAATGGTTGTCTTTGTCCAGTGTTCTACTTTTTTATGCCTGACAGAAATATCCCAGCTCTCCAGCAGCATGCATTATTGCACAACTGGAAAGGTTTATTATGCAGTTATTGTCTTCCTCTAAAGCATCAGACACAGGTTACACGGGAGGCAGGGTACTGGACTTGATAGTTCTTTACAGAAAATAGTACATTCTAGCAATGTGCATCCATAGTTGATAGTATACTTCAATTTAGGAAGATAGGTAGTAAATTTTCTGAAGGTAGTATTATCTACGAGCATACTTCTTTTCCTTTTGCAGTTGGTGAACTTGGTTACAATGATGGCTGCTCAGTGTTACAGGTACATCCACATCCAGGTAGAATGTTGTTTGTTGAATATGCCAAATGCACCCTTAGCAGAAGTTTTGGGGTTGGTTGGTTGGGTTTGTTTTGTTTTTTTTTTTAATACTCTGAATAATTTTAGAATTCTGGCAGTATTGCAGGTGCACCTTGGTACTAGCAGCAGAAGAGGTTACTCTTGAGCCTGTGATTGCAAAGGAACTGACATTTGTCTGAACTGGTGTGATGTAAAATAACCCTTGAACTGTGAGTTAGGAAAAACATGCAAGAAAAGCCATTTGGAGATCTGAAAAAGAATTAAGGGTCTTCATGCAATATTTGAAGTTTTATAAAAAACAAGCTACAATTATTTTCAGTCTTTTAAATCAGAGTGTATTCCTGTTCCTTTCGTATCTTTTTCTTTGGTCTTCTCTCAGTTTAGTAGCGGCAGCAGTGGTAGCACCTGAAATACATGTGTCTTGCCACGCACCATCAAGGGATATCGGGCAACCTTTGCTCTGACCTTCATTATTCTTTACAGACTGTATGGTACTAAAATACCAGATGCACAAAGAACAAAATTTGCAGAAGTAAAAGAAAAAGATGGGAGTCATTGAGACCATTATGAGGAACTTAGATTTAAAAAAACCCCTTATTAATGATTTCACGGTCAACCTATGTTTACTCTTGTGATGGACCCATTGACTTGTGGGGAGATCTTGGTACTCAAGAAGGTAATGACTACCTAGAGCTAGACATTTTACAGGTCTGCAGTGTTAGTGCTCCTTCACATCTTTGCCATTGCCTCACCTTACGCTATGGACCAGTCTTGGTCTGTACTGAAGAGAAATTGCCAGGTATTGCAAAAATACTTACTAGGTTCGTGATACTGGTGTGGTTCTTGTTCTTAGCTTATAGCTCACTTAAGTTTGTGAGCCAAACTAATGCTTCAGCATGTGTTTTGAGGCAAATGTGTTTGATCTAGCTAGCTGCCTAGAAATACTTGGTCCTCATCTGTATAGTATGGGTGTTTCAGAAATACTAATTAATTGGACCCTTAAAACACACCTGTGAGGCAGGGAAGTAATAATCTGAATTGACAAATAGAGAAACAGAGGCTTCAGGTAGATCTTAAGTGACTTGCCGAAATGACACCAACCAGCCATATCCTCCTTAGTTCTGGGGCACTGTCCTAATAGCTTCAGATATGAGGGATGATCTGAGTAATACTTTTTTTATGTTGCTGCAAGTTTCACAGTACTTCATAGGGGGTGTTTTCTTAGCTCTGGTCCCCAGATTTGAGAACATACTGAAATTTCAACTTTCTGTAGCCTTAATTATAGTAAGAAGTCTGACGACGTATTTTCCACGTTTATTTTTTTACCCTCTTACATTTTACAGGTGGGATAATGCTTTCTCGTTTTGTGTACACTGCAAAGATACTGGGTAATCCCCGTTACCTGTGCTACTCATTTTTAGCATTCCTTATTTTCTGCCCCTTGAAGTAGATGTAGTTGCAATGCACTTTACCCTTTAAGACTTGGTAAATATTTTTTAATTCAGTCTCCTTAAAGGCTGGGATGTTAGGTTTAGCATCTGTAATGTAGGATTCAGTTTTCAGCTGAAATCTCTCCACAGCATTTAGATCATATTTATTTTGGGCCCAGAAGTGTATAAAGCGAGAAACTACCAATATTTAACCATTTTCTGTAGTAACTGAGACGTGAAGTTTACATAAACTAGGTCCTGCAAAAATCGCAGCATCTCTATCACTTCTAACTTTCGTGCATAACACATAATTGGCTGCTACCCTTCAAGCACATTTGACAAGGGAAAGCCTTTAACTATAGGTATTCCTTAATGCAGTGGGAAAGACATACATTAGTGTATCTTTTAAACAAGGGCACTGAGTTGATAGAAAAGATGAAACAGCGACCAAAAGTACATAATGAAGATGGTACTAGAAATACAGTTGGTGAGAATTTAATCCATTGGTTATATCAGGAAAATATAATTTTTCTCAAATTGATTTCAAGAGGAGGGGCATTTGTTTTAATTTTGTGGTGTTTCTTGGTGACTCCATAAAACAATATAAAGACTATTCTGAAAACCTTAAGTCTCATGAGAACATTTTTTGTTTCCCCTGGTAAATGTTTTGCATGTGACAGGGGTTGAATGTAATGGTGTGTGTTGAAGCACTATTTCTGTTCCTATTAAAGTCTACAGAACTTTTACAGAAATCTTAAGTATTCAAATGACATTTGATATCATAAACTGTTGCGTTTCCCCCCTAGATGTTTGGATAGTTGTGCATGCATGTTTACACCTCTGACTAGGGCTTGGGTGTAAAAAGGGCCACAGAAAGGTGTAAGTTGTACAAAGGCCAAACCAATGTCAAAACAGGGCTGGTCTTTTGCAGGTGACAGACCAGCAGTTGATTTTGCTGGTTTTTTAACAGCATGTATTGGCTCCAAATCTGCGTATCCTTGGTTTTGTTTTATATTTAACCACTTCTCAATGAGACAGAGTTATGAGAGAGCAGATTGTCTTTATTCACTGTCGGTGAAGTAAAAATGCAAGTTCTGATTAATGTCAGTTACTACTTTGAGCATATAATGATGTATCTGATTTGGACCTCTATTTCTAAGCAGTATTCTCTTTGTGTAAGGTGGGATCAATGGTGAAATTCCATTTCTGCACTGTACTAATTTATTTAATGGCTGCAAAGATGATGAAACTGATTTAGTAGGACCTAATAGTGGACTGAAACCTGAAATTCTCCTATTTCCCCTAAAGAAGTTTGGTCCTTTGGTTTGATAGATAGAATTAGGTATTTTTGGAATTTAATTGTAAGATCTTTCCCATCTTTTCCTTGAGGTAGCAATTCAGGCATTTATATTTGACAGTATTTACTTAATATAAACATGAGTTCATTTATGATATCTTTATTTTAAATTCATATACACTCCAAAAGAAAATTCAGGAGCAATTCCACCACAAAAAACTGCGTTAAGATGGAGTCAGGGTTGCTGATGTCCTTCTTTCAGAGCATACGTAAAAGAGACAGGAGTTTGTATGGTTCTTTTGCAATATTTAGGAATTACTTCCTCTTTTGGACAAGATAAGTGAATAAGAAAAAACCCAAACAACTTAGCAGCTGTAACTCTGACCATGTATACATTATTTCTTGTGATACTGTGCTGTAAGGTATGTGACTAAGTCTGTAAAATGTCTTATGAGGATATTATCCTAACACAGTGTTTACTCCAGATTAACGCAGTATTTTGTTTGGAAATATGTAGGTGTACAGATAGAATATGAGAGATAAAGTTACCTTTAAAGTTGATAAAACAAGTGTTGGACATTTCTATATTTTTATATATTACAAAGGGCATTTTGAATTTTTCTTGCAGTTTTAGTAATTATTTAGTGTGGTAATATACATATATTGTGACAACATTTTCTGCTATATCCATTACTTTGGTGTAATTCTATTTTATGTAGCAAATACGTGTATATACAAAGGAGATTATGTAAAAAATATGAATAAGAAATAGGCTCGAACCCTTCAGAACAGGGACCATCTTCCTCTGTGTCTGCAAAGTACTTAATGCCTTGGGGGCCCAGCCACAGCTCACGTCTGAGACCCATGGTGTCCAAATTTCCAAGTGATGAGCGTGGAGGAGCAGCTCCTCTGCTCTCCACGAGAAGCCTTAGTAGAAAAGGTGCCGTGAAGCTCACCTTGCCACTCCCTGGTGGTGGGGCTGTGCTCTGCGTGGCCATTCCCAATGCCACCTGCCACCAACCCGGAGAGCCCAGAGTCCATGCGTTCGTTTGCTCCAGTCCTTTGCTTTGGCAGTAAGAAAGGGAGTCTGTGGTAGGAGCTTTGATGTCATCAGAGGAATCTTCCTTGTTAGCAGGACGATCCTTCCAGAGCTTGTTCGGGCCTCGCGCAGCGTCCTTTGAAGCCAAACAAATGATTTGTGTTGACTTCAAGGGTCACTGGATGTGTTCCTGCAAGATCGAGTTCTGCTGACGTAACAGCTCTGTTACACCTGAGGACCTGGTTGGTCAAGTTCTTCAGGAATGGTCTAAAAATACTGTAAAAATATAAATATATTTAATTACATGTACTGAAAAAAAAATCCTATTTGTTGTGGTCAGAGTTCAGATTCCTATGTGAATTTTGATTAGTCATACTTGCATATATATTGCTTTAACTATTATGTATGAAAGAGGAAGTGATTCTAAAGTGTGTGAAAGATCAGGATTACACCTGTTTTTTAACAGTTATGTTATTTAGGAATGGATGTCAGCAAATTTAACTCCGTATTAATGCATTTTTTTTGCATTAGAATATGTGTGTATATCATACAACCACATTTTATATATAATATATTATATATTTGGTACTAACTTTGTATTTTCCCTGAAATTTTGCCAAATCTCAAACAC